TTTTTCTATTCTCTTTGTCAGCAATATGAAGTATTTTGTTTCCTTTATTGTTTTTTGCAGAGCTATGATCCAGAGTGTTTATGATGTAAACTCTTCAAGTAAAACTAACTTTTTATCTCTGCACAAATATAACTTTTGGCTTAACTGAGATTCCAGGTTCATTTCCAAATGTGCTTTGCCCTGTTAACTCTGCAGGTTACTTTAGGTCCCATTAGTGCTACACTTTGAAAACAGCATAACAAAAAAAAAAAAACAAAACCCAAAAGCCTTTGAAAACTCCCCAAAAACTTACACAGCAGCAGATGAAGAATACACAAGAAACTATCTTCTTACAAAGTACAATTCCTGGGTGCAGAGATACTTACTGGACATTAATACCTCTTTGGGCATCAGTGAAGGTTTCCAGTGCTAAATGAGAAGACATTCCTGTACCAAGCAGCTGTTTAAGACTTACTGATACTCATCAACCAAATCAGATGCTTCTCATGTATGCACTGACTATTGTATTACAGTAACAATATAGCGTTAATATTTTTAGAGCCTACAGTCAGAACATATGTAACAAATGTAGCATCTGCTCACTGTGAAACATTCCATTTCATCTAGAATTTAAATTTATATACAAATCTACATGGACAGCTGAAGAACTTTGGTTATCTAAGTTAAACATTTTTCCCAGCAATTTCAATTGAAATCAAAAGCACAATTCATGACCTACATTAGTAAAAAAATTGCTTTATTTATTACTTTCAGCTTGAGACTTAAGTTACTGCTTGTGCTCTAAAATAAAGTCACTATGGGCTTCATTCCCATCTGGACAATAAAGCAAGACTAAAATTGCACATGTAGCTTTTCATCAAAGCAAAAGGTAAAACCCGTGGCATACTACCTCTTCTAAAGGATGCATTAACAAAACTACACTCATTCTAAAACAATTTTTTGGTACACACTAGTAAATTCAACAATGTACAATACCTGGTGTGATTTTAAATGTACAGGATGCCAGAGAAAAACAACTGCACTCATTCACAAACAGTTCACAAAAATACCAATAATATTACTGGTGGACTTTTAAAAAACTTTTCAAAGCTCTTATATACACCATTCTTTTGAAAAGTATAACGGAAGTACTCTGAAACCTTCACATACACTTATTTCATTTTTTGTTCTTAATAGCGGCAATCTTCAGAGCTCCTGATAAGTTTAACTTCGCATTCTGCTCATGCAGAGATCTTCTCCCATGTCAGCCTGTCATATTTTCAGCAGCCTAGAAACAGAAAAAAAAAATCCCACGTCACTAAAAGAGACACCATGTAGATTAAATTAAATATTTTCTTCTAGCTTCTTAAATTTACCTAGAGAACTTAGGGGTCTAAAAAAAAAAGCTACTTAAGAAATTTTTTCTAATGAACACTACTATTTTCTAAAAAATAATGCTGTCAACTGCCATTACCTTTACTAAAAGAGCCACTGTTGTTTACTTGTGCTACATCCTGTGGTTGAGCAGCTTTTATCTTGTACATTTTACCCTAATAATTTCAAGAAATGCTCAAATGCATAAATGTAGTTACCTCTGGAGTTTACATAATTAATGGCAATTATTACCCAATTCATACAGATTAGTTATTGAAACAAAACTCAGAAGAACGATGCCATTCATAACTGCATAAATCACACTAACAATTATTTAATTAAGAATATTAGTATTTTTATCACTGAATAACTACAGTCAACAAGCCACAGTTGTTCAAGACTGACATTGGTAGATTTTAAAGCAGTTATGGGACAAACAGGCAAAGGAGAGCAACAGGAATGGGAAACTAGTGAAAGCAATGGAAGAAGTAACACAGCTCTCAAATATTTATATACAGTTAAATGCATATGTAGGAATACCTTTAAGCATAGACACAAATACAAAATATGCATGAGCATAGAAAAATGTTAAGTTAAAAATGAAGTGTGCAGTCTTCCAGAATAGAAGCAAGATATAGGTTTCCCCTTTCACCTCTCAAAAATAGCCAAATATAAGATGCAGTAATAAAAAAAACCTGACTGTGATGTTTAGCTAGACAGTAAAGAATGATATTCCTTTAAAATGCAAGTAAAATTTGTTTTAAAAACCATGGTTACCCCTCTACTAGTTAAACAGGTAAATACACATATATGAAAAACTATATATATATATATATATATATATATATATATATATACAAATAATGAAATTTCCTCTTTCTGGTCTTTGGAAAGACTCAAAGCACAGGTTAAAGGAGGAAAAGCAGTATATTATGATGATGTTAACAAGCTGCGTGTTCCCGTTTACAAGTACTGCATACTGTTAAACCTGAGGCTGTAATAATGAGGGGGTATTGGTTAAAGGAAAAATCTATTTGTGATATTATGCAGGTAAGGGGACAAATGGAAACTATAATAAAAACTTAGGAGTTTTGGTTGTGGTTTTTTTTCTTCAAAAGAGTCTAATTATTGTATTTTTAAGAAAAATTTTATTTGTACCATTTCCTGTTTCATGTTGAGTTGTTTTTATTGCCTCCTCTCTTGAACAGCTAAAATGAGTTATATCAAACTACAATCTGCAAACTGAAGTATAGCAAATTGCATGTGCATCTGACTCTTAAGAAGAGATTTATAAGCTTTTTAAACTAGAGCATTACCTTTAGAGCTTCTGTAGCCTTCCGCAGTTCTTTAATAACAGAAGATAAAGCTTCTGGATTTATTCCTTGTTCACAAAGCCGCACACAAATAGACAATGTCTCCATATCCAAGCCAGTGTTTAATATTCTTGAAATCTCAAACAGAACTGCAAAAGAAAAAAAATGAACGCGCTTTAATTCCTACAGACTATGAAATTTCAATGATCAAGACTGTTCTTCATCAACATTTAGATTCTACAGCATTTCTACAGTGTGAACATAGCAGGTGTCCTTTGCTGCTTGCAACAGTGTTTATGCTCAACCTTCCAGCATAAGCTAAAACCTACAGCTTCTAACATACACACCATGCTTTCCTGGTTCAGGAAATTTAATATTGGATAATTGGTTTTGAAAGAGTAAAAAAAAAAAAAAATAAGCGAAACATTCAACAATTAACACGCCTTCCAATTAGGTAAAAGGTGGGCTATAAGAACACTGTGCTTTTGGACTCCAGATACTGATGAAGTCCTTTCTAATGTTTAGGTGTTGAGGCAGTGTCTTTGGCAGAGAGACGCAGCAGTTTCTCCACAACAATTCTGAGCTCTTAACAACTTTGCAGACAACAACTGCTAAATTTATGTATCTATCCTAAATAAAATATACTCATAGCTACACAGGAAGCCTGTGTAACTGAACATTAATCTGAACATTAGCGCACTTTCCCTATCTATTCTCCAAAGCCTTACTTTGTCTTTAAGTCTGCCTGTTGTCCCTCCTGTCGAAATCATTCCTGAAAGAGTGAATTTGTCAAGTACAGTTACCAGAACTTATATTCTTTGTCCTTCCCCAAAAAGTCACTCTCTATCTGCACAAAATGGTTTTACCCTCTTGCAGCATCAGAGGAGCCATAATGATCCTGCTAGTCCTGCCTTGCTACCAGCAGCAGGTCAGAGCATGAAGATCAGTGGCTGAAATGGTAATTTTTACACCAGTTCAACTCATGAAAGCCTGTATCAAAAAACCCTTTTGTAACAGCAGCTGTAACTTCAAGAGAAGGGAAGATGCTGAGAAAATAACAAATTCATAGTACTATCCCTGAAACATTCTCCCTAGCCTCTACTCCCTTCATTAGGGCATTTTCAGAGAAAGGCTCCACATTTAACAACCCTCAACAGATTTCCACCCTGCGTATAAGCTTTTGGTATAGACGTTTTGTGGAATTCCAGAGTTTCACACTACAGTGAGAAACAATTCCAAAACATGCCATCCTTAGATTCCTCAGCCTTTCCAGTCAGGCTGAAAGTGAGCACCGGAACTTCACTCCCCTGCTCACGTTTCTCATGGTTTATCAGTGTACAAAGTATTTCCCAGTACACCTTCTCTCACATTCCCCATCCCACAACAGTACCTGAATTTGGGGTTTGTTGTTGCTTTTTTCCCATATCAGAATCCATTTTAGCTCTGCAGGACTGACTACCGTTCTCACAGCTTTTTCACTGTACTGTAGTTTGGGCTGTTTTGAGTTGTTTTTTTTTTTTTTTTTTTGCAGCGTACTTTGTTTTTCTGACATGAGCCACGAAGAAGAACAAATCGCCGGGGCTGGGTCTGTGCGGGCGCTGCCGCTGACCCCGGCCCAGCGCCGCTCTCTCCTCCCCCTCCCGCGCACTGCCAGCCCCAGGCACGGCATTTACAGCAACCGTTACAAATAACGGGAAACAAGAGCAAATATATATATGTCTACACGCATATATAAATACATACAGACACTAAAAAACCCCTAATATTCTATGTTAAATACCTAGCGAATTAAAAAATAAACAAACCATAAAAAGGAAAAGCCACGCCAATTCCAAAGGCACTCCCTCTGCGGGGGTTGAGCTGTTTCGCCAACTGACACGAAGTAAAACAAAAACTACACGCTGCATCATTCAGCAGCCGCAACCCGCGCCCCTCTTCCCCAGTGAGGCGCCTATGTGCACGGCCCACGGCGGGGCCAGGCGTCCCCTCTCCCTCAGCCGTGGCTGCCCGGGGGTGTCACGCACCGTCCATGGTCTCCCTCACGGCGTTCAGGCTGGCGGCATTGCTCGCCATGGCGACCCAACCGCGCCCGGAACCGGAACGCGCCGCGCACGCCCGGGCCCGCCAGCCCCACGTGACGGCCCGGCGCAGCGCGAGCGCGGCGGGGGCGGGCTTGCTTTGAATTCGTGCGGCGGAGGCGCTGGCGATTGGCCCGTTCGAGATAGTGGCAGCCCTGCCATTGGCCCGACGGCGCACACTGCGCTCCGTGATTGGTCAGAAGCAGAAGAGGGGGCGGGGCTAGTTAAAGGGCCACTCGGCGCGGCGGCGGCGGGAGCGGCGCGGCGGCGGCCGGGGCCGGGTAACGGCGGCAGCAGCAGCAGCAGCGGGCTGTGCCCGCGTTCTCGGCATTCCCGGCTCGCCCGGCAGCGCCTCCGCGGCGGCGGGGCTTGGGAGAGCGGCGAGCGGCTCGGCGCGGTGGCACCGTCCCGGGGAGAAACGTGAGAAGGTGCTCAGCGGGGCCGCTTCCCCCGGGGCACCCGTCCCCTTGGCGGGCGGGGCCCGGGAGGCGCCCCCTGCCGCAGCCCCCCTGCCGCAGCCCCGCGAGGGCCGGGCCGCCCCCGGCCCGTTGAGGCGGAGGGCGGGCGGTTTTAGCGCCCGGGAGGAGCGGGAGCCGCCCGGGGCGTTATTGCTGCCCTGGCCTCTGGGGCTGCTTGGTCACTTCTGGTGCTTAGTTGGGTTTTGTTTGTTTGTTTGTTGGATTTTTGGCTTGTTTCCTTGTTGTTTTGCCCTTATTGGGGTGTTTGCTTGGTTTTTCTTAATCCCTCTTTTCACGTTCTTTCTTAACTCATCTTCGTAGTTTCTGTTTGTTTGTAATTGTAATTTGTAATTCGTACCAGACTTATTTATGAACTTTATGTCATTAAGTCCAACCTATAGCTAACTCCGTTTTTGAAATGTTGCTAGTGCTTTCAAATTATTAATTCTCTCTGTCCAAAGCCTTCAAGGTGGCCCTAAAATGTCAAAAGTGTGATTTCATTGTTTTCCTTAATTTTGTTCTCCTGTTTTTCAGGTATAGGTTGGTGTTATGGGTGATACAGAAGAAGCTAAAATGCAGATAGCACCAGAAACTCCCGGACGAGTCACGATCCTGAATCCTTTTGAAAGTCCCAGTGATTATTACACTCTTCAGGAGCAGATTGTTTCCAGTCCTTCAGTCTTTAAGTCAACGAAATCCTCATCTGTAAGATCTAGTTGTTAGTTGTGTGGCTGTACAGATATAGTGCTAATATTTTCAAATGCATTAAGGGTATTTTATTTAGTGTACTTCAACATATGTACCAAGCTAAAGAACTTTGGTGGCATTTGGAGTTTATTCTCTTCACAGAACTATGCTGCTTTTAAATACTAATATTGCCACTTAGTCTTCCTCCCTGCCTAAATTTATTTTGTCTTTAGATATTAGAGATTGGGTGCTAAAACCAGTAGAAAGTAGATAAAGGCTAGTTGTTGATGATACTCTGGTCCTGCTTACAATGCAGAAAACCAGTTTCTACTTAGATGCTGAGTAGGCTGGTTGCAAACAAAACTTGATTGCACTTACGTTGTGAGCTGTTTGTGTATTCAAGTCAATGATTTTGTGTATCTATAGCTGTTTCGGGTTTTTTTTTTGTTGCAAATTACATACTGGTTTGCAGTTGAAATTATTTTCTGATAAGCAGTAGAGGTGAATCTGCTAATGAAACTTAAAATACTCACTTGGTAGATAATTTTCCAAATATATTTGAACGGTACTTTATTAAATAAAGGGGTGGAGCTTCTTCTGAATTGGATTTTGTTGTGTCCTATGTATGGCATTTATGAGGGAGACATTGCAGAATGTACAGGCATTGCAGCTCTGGTCTTCTTAGAAATGGGAAGTGAAAGGAAGACTGCTCTATTATTTGGATAACTTTGGTTAGGATACTGAGTTTTTGTGGAACCACCGTTTGGATTGAAGAAGCAATTTCGGTTTGTGTGAAGTTATGCATCTTTAGTAGACCTGTCCATAGGAATTGAGAAGAAAATGACACCTCATTTTGTGAATACCAGCTTAATATTATGTTGTTAAGCCTTGTAATACCACTACCAGCAGGTTAAGAAGCCTGACTTACTTCTTTTTGAATAGATCATTTAAATAGAAAGACTTTTGATTGCTTTTGACAGAAACTATATGGAAGCTGTGATTGTATTGTTCCACTGAGATTTGTCCTGTGGTTTTATTTTTCCTTTTTTGAATAGCAAGCATTAAGATGCCTGTTTCTTTTTTTAGACACCAGGAAAATTCAGATGGTCTATTGATCAGCTTGCTCTAATAAATCCTGTGGAAATAGACTCAGAAGACATTCGACGCCAGGGAATGTATTTGAGCCATGCTAGGTAAGTTACAATCTACTTCTATGCAGCTAACCTAGCTTTAATACTAGAACACTTGTTCTTTTGCTTTATTAACATTTCAGCATAGCATTAAAGACTTTTTATTAAAATCTTCTTACACAATTTTTTACATTATGTGGATATAATATTTAGATGAGGCTACCTCCATGTTGCTTCCTTTTAATGGTAAGAGCTGCTGATCCACTCTGCAGTTTGGAAGACAACCAGATAAAAGCAGCTAGTGGAAGCAGAAAATGTCTTGCCAGTGACCGTTACCAGGCTACCTCTTCTGCTCCTTGTTACAACACAATTTATCTTCTCAGAATGCTCCTTGGTGAGGCTTCTTTGGTCCCTGGGGCTCCTTCAGAAGGGTAGACATGTTGGGGAAACTAGCTGGGGAAGCCCCAGCAGTCTCTTTTGAAGGCATAGATTAGACTTAATGTGAAGGAGGGGGCTCCAGTGCTAGTTATTTGAAGTAGTTTGAGGACCTTATCCCAACTTTTTTCTCTTCTCTGAAAATAATCTGCATGAGGAAAATGGGTGGGTAAAACAGTCTCGGTGTTTGGAGCTTACCTTGAGAGATAATTTTACATGCGAGTGGTAGAGAATGACATGCCAAGGGGAGCCTTAGTGGTGAATCCTGTAGACTCCTGTACATTTCTCAGACACAAATTTGCAGAAAGAACTTCTCCTCATGGTATGAAGCACTACAGGAATAGAATAATAAACCAGTCCTCTCTAGATCAGGTTGCTCAGTCGTATCCACCTTGATCTTGAATGTTTCCAGGGATGGGGCATCTACTCCAAGTACTCCAAGCAACCTGTTCCAGTGTTTTGATACCCTCATCATAAAAAATACTGTGAAATAACTTACTGTTTTTAGTGTCTGACTGAACCTACATCTCTCTTTTTGAATAGTAGAAGCTGTAGGACTATAACTGTATCTGAATCACCAGGTTTTAATGTTTTCTGTCCTTCCTTTAGCATCCAGTAGGTTTCAGACTAATGCTTTTTGTACATTTTGAAGCCTTAAGCCATGTTTTAATTATATTGTTTCTGGAACCTTACTCAGACAAACTAGCTTTAATGGAGATGACTTGGGTGACAATTCCAGTCATGATGAGTGGCATGGTCTATAGATATAAACATGCGTTCTCTCAGTGGGTCCTTTCAGTTTGTCCCACTGTTCCACAATCACTAAGGTTCATTTTTTTTAAAATCATCTGCTGTGACTAGAAAGAGGCTATTTTGACTATGTGTAGATCTGCTGCGTCCATGCTTGCATGTTTTAGTGCATACATATAAATGAATACACAGTGATTGTATCCTTTTTTTTTTCTGGTACAATAACTCTGCAAGTGCCTCCATTGAGCTGTCACTTTAGCATCATCAGGCAGATGTTATAGAAGGTGGCGTGTCCAAACATTGTAGATATATTTTAAGTCTGATAAGAATAAAAAGAGAGAGAGCTGTGAGAGTTCATGTATTTGTCACCTCTGTGTGTGCTTGTGTGTCTAGTACTATCTTGGTATCTGACTGATTTCTGAAATTATTCAAGGGCAATTCAGGTTTATGAACTGTGAATGAAAGTACTGAGTGGTTTTGAAGCTTATAAATGATGAACATTTATAAACTTAAAAAAATTTTGCAGTAAATTACATTGTGGTAACTGAAAGTCAAGCTTGAAGGTGACCGTTAGAGGAAATGCAAATATAGAATCTCACACATCATGAAGTAACTGAAGTAACTACAATATTTTTTTTTTTTAAATTAAGTTAAAAGCTGCTTAAAGAAATATAGTCGTTGTTAGAACTAAAATATGTTACTGAAGAAGCTGTGGCAGACTGGGTATTTGATTAGAGAGAGCCCTGTGCTGGGAAAGTGGGCTGTCAGGAATGTGGGCTGTGTCAGGAATTTGAGTATGCAAATTCCAGGAGTGTTTTCAGTTGCCCTTTAATTCCTTACACCTCAGTTTTTTAGTCTGCTTGCTTTATAGTACAAGTCTAATCTCATATGAACTTTAATAATGATACCTTCATATGACATTATTTTGGAAGATCAGTAATTATTAAGTTTTTGTCCAGATATGCTGCGTAAACAGAATATTTGCTATTATGTACTTTTAAATGGTACAAATATTTTTCAAATCAACTGAATTTATATTTAAAAATGTATAGTATGAGATTATTGCATGTAAGAATAAAATATAAGATTTAGAGTTTAGTGCAATTTAATTTATAAAGTTTCTCTTGAGCATCTATAAATATTATGTGGCTGGATTTTACATCTTTTCCTACTTATGTTATAGTTTTGATAATTGAGTTGTTTTTCATTTGTTACTTAGAATGGATAAAGAGACAGAAGACAGAAGGCAAAAAGCTATTGAGGAGGTAATAAAACTTTGTGCTATCAAATATTGGTTTGTCTACAGAAAAGATCTACATCTTTTACAGGATTTCAAAACCCAGAAGCCTATTTTATTTCAGTAAGAAAGTAATTTTGCACCCTCATCCCTTGCGGTTGTAGCTGGAATCCACACACTTCTTTTCTTCCCCTCTTCTTTCAGACGTGTAGGTCAAAACAGGAGATTTTTTTATTTCATTTTTCTTGGCTAGTGGTAATATAGCTGTAATATAACTCTTACTAACTTCAGGCTATAAACAATGATTGAGAATTTGGGGGTTTACAGTAACAGTAGGAGTGATACTGCATTTTTGAAATATTGGAGAATTTGTGTGGATTTTTTTTTTTTTCATTTCTTCCAAAGTCTGCTTTTTTGGATGGAAGACTTTATTCTAGTAGCTTGTATTTTGCCATCTATTTTTAATTTTGTTTTTTACTATTCATTTGGCTAGCATAGAAGGAAGCGTGAAATGTTTAAAATATTCACTACAGAAATCTTCAACGTTATTTTCAATTTAAAAAGTAAATAAAATAAGTCTCTGATAGGCAGGTCTATCACTTTCAGTCTCTACAAACAAAAAATGTTTTATGATTCCAAAAAGGAGCTGTGTAGTTGACTTGCAGCTAAGATGCTCTGTTGTTCTAAACTTGTGTTAAAAGGGGTATTACCTCTTTGTGAGGTATAACCTAATGGATTATGCAGCTGGACAGCTTGAAACTCTGATAAAAATTATACCTTTAATAGTTGTGTGTTTCAAGCTGAATTTTTTTCATTTACTTTTGAATCTTGCATTTATTTGAGAACAGGATTTGCCATGTGTTTCTTGAAGCTTTGTGATAGTGTTCGCCTCCTTAGCATCAGGGTGTTTCTCAGTGCAACTGTGAGTAGACAGAGTTTCTGGTACAAGAAAAAAACTGAACTGCCAGTACTCAAAAATGTTTTACCACTAACCAGTTTAGCCAAGTACACTAACACTAATAATGTTGCCAAAAAGCCTTGGTTTATCTCTTTTACTGTTACTGCAGTGTCTGTCACTTCTGTAAAATAGCTCAATTGTCAAAATAAAACTTAACAAACTGAAAACTTAGAACTAATTATTTTTAAACTACTATGCAAGAAGCATGGTAGTGACAATTCAATTTTTAAAATGAGTAATTACAGTTAAATGAAACTTGTGTATAGTTTTCACTCTGCAGACTTGAAAGATCTGAGGTACTATGGGTCATAAAGAACATAGAGGTCATCAAATTGTTTTTTCTTTAACCTCTTTCAGCCTAAAATGAAATGTTCTACATTTTTTTTCTTGTTCAGGGTACTAGTCTAAGATTAAAGTTGAAAATTTTAAAAAGTTCTGAGATGGTTTGTTTTTATTCTACTCCAGTTTTTCACAAAAAAACTCATAGTTCCTTCTCCTTGGACTGAACATGAAGGCAAACAAGTTTCTCAGTTTAATTCAACTAAATGTAAGTTGCTTTTGTGTGTCCACCCAAAATAATATAGCTTTTGGAGAAATTATCATGGATAATTTTTTTTTCAACCTCAATTTAATTAATTTTAAGAACCAGGGATATAAAGTATGTCACAACTGATTGTCTCCAAGTGCTTTCTTAGTTTAAAAATTATTATTTGAAAGTCTTATATAATTTTCCTTTTTGTTATTCTTGGTCTTTGTTCTTAAATTTTTCTCTGTTAACAATCTGTCTGCAAGCATTTTAATTTACACGTGTAACTTTGTATCTGTAACTATTAACTGTGTTGATACTGGTAATAGCCAAGTCTTCCACTTCACATGTCTCTTCAGATATTTGTGCATCCTCTTATTCTGACTGCTTTCCTCACCATATAGCATATTGGAAATAGAACTCTGTATTCTTTTACCCTCACTAGCAGCATAAATTCATGTTGTCATCCTGCTAGTTCACTGCCACTAGTGGTGTGTTTTGTAAGTTTGTTTAATTTATAACAAGCTTAGATTTTGTTCTTAATTCTCTTATTGATGTTATGCATAACCAGCAGAATACAGAACAAATTGATTATAAGATGGAAAATGTGAGCTGTATTGTTAGCATGCCCTGGTATGAAAGTCAAATAAGTGGGGATTTTTGGAAGATTTGGAAAGGCTAAGCTGTTACATTTTTGATCAAGGAGATCCAGCTTGTGGCTAGTTTGTTTTTTTTTTTTTAAATGTCAGTTGTAAGATGGTCACTTTAAGGGCAGAGAACATAAAACATAATCTGAAATCTGGTAAAGCAAATGGAGAAAGAAAAATAGTCTGTGTTCTTCAGCTACATAAAAAAAAATTAAAAATTGAAGTGTATCTTTTACCTCTCTCCAGTCCAGGCTAAATGATTTTCTGGCAATGTGCTTTACTTGAACACAGTCTGTTTAGCTAAGCATGAACTAGTTTGTTTTAAATCTCTTGTCATGTAGAGACAGGAGGAGACAAAGTTTTGGGCAATGTTGATGCTACTTCACTAAACTTCTTTTGAACAGAAATATGCTGAAATTCACTTGATACATATAATGGTGACCTTTTCTCAGTATTCCTTTCTAATCTCTTCCAAACACTGATGCAAAAATGTTGTTTGGTTGTATTAAGTATTCTAACTTAATGTTGTTAATTTCAAAACTATGTGCAGTGCTTGTTTACATTTAAGGTCTATGTTTTCCAGCTATAGATATAAATAACATTTCTCCAATTGGAAGACAGCTGAGCTTGCAGGTTGGGAAAAGCAATGGTGAGTAAAAGGCAATGTTTAAAATTACAGGCTTTCTCTGAACAAAAATAATGCATTTTTAATAGATACTTAATTTCAAAAGGAAATTATTTGTTAGAGTTACTGTAGAAATAGTTCTTCTTGAACTGTATGGTACTGTTAATTTTAATATCAATTTCTCATAGGAATTTAATTCTATTATACTCTGTTGTATTTTTTCAAGTAAAAAAATAAGTCCCCTGTAGACCGTGAAGTCTATTTCTTCCAACTCAGTGTCTGTATTTTTTGTGGATTGAAAAAGAAATGTGAGCTTCAGATTTACAAGTAAATTTCATTTTTATAAAACCTTTAATAGGCTGGATTGTTTTGGGTTAGAGAATCATGATTATTTTCTAGGCTAAATAAATATCAAAATCTTATTATGTCTTTTAAACGACATCATTTTAGATAAATAGTTACTGGTTTTCCCCAAGGTATTTTGATTTTTCTGCCATTTTGTTTTGAATCTTTCCCTTCTTCAGAGACCTCTCTTCTTAGTTAACATAAAAGCCTCTAGAGGGGCATTCTTAAAATGCTTGGGTTTTTATTTCTAAGCCTAGTGTGCTGCATGCAGTATTGTCAAATCAGAATCATACTTTAATTAATGCTTTTTCTTATTGCAACTGTAATTTAAATACCTTAATTGCTGTGCAATTTGAAAGTGAATTTTTGTTTGTGCAGCTTTACTAAAAGGTCACTCTAAGCTAATTTTGTTGGTTTTATTCGTTGCAGCTGCTTGTCAGACAGTACTGTCTTTGCCAGTGGATTTTAATTTAGAGAAAATACTAGGTATGTCATGTACTATCTAAATTTAATTATGAATGTCTAAGTAGAAAACTTGGTTTTGTGTTATTGGCTGAATTTGTCTTGTGAAATACTGAAAATGAATGAATGTTCTAAGTAAGTATTCTAAATAGACCGTTACTGCATAACTGGAAATTGTTCTGTCTGCAGGAGGTTGAGGAGGACCTCATGCCTTCTACAATTCCTCATGAAGGGAAGAGAAGGGGCAGGCATTGGTTGCTTTTCTCTGGTGACCACAGACAGGACCTGTGGGAATGGCCTGAAGTTGTGTCAAAGGAGGTTTAGGTTGGATTTTAGGAAAAGATTCTTCACCTAGAGGGTGGTTGGGCTCTGGAAGAGACTTCCCAAGGACATAGTCACAGCACCAACCTGGCAGAGTTCAAGAGTGTTTAGACAATGCTCTCAGGGATATGGTGTGACTCTTGAGAGGTTCTGTGCAGGCCAGGAGTTGGGACTTAATGATCCCTGTGTGTCCCTTCCAACTCAGGATGCTCTGTGATTCTAGATAGCTTGTACCTCTCCCAAACAGAGCAGTAATTTGTCTTAGCAGAGCTGTTTGTATAGATGCCAGCCAGGAGTCTCAAAGCCCAGCCTTGCCTTGAGTAAAGCTGAGCTGTAACTCTGGCTTTAGTCTACCTGAAACCATGGTGGGGAATAGAAACCGTGTGGTGGCAAAAAAGCCATGACTGCAGAGTGAGGAGGCAGGAGTTCAAATTAACTGTCTGATTATCTACATCAAGCAATTGCTGCCATCTTCTCAGGCAGGGGGGCTGGAAGGGCCTGATCTTAAAACTCATAGGTGGGTACAGCCAGCTCAGAGCATTTTGGCTGCATGCTCCTATCCCAGTGCTGAAATTCAGAACCATGACTGTGGGCCAGCAGAACATGTTTATTGGCCTCTGGTTTTTGTCTTAACAAATGCTTCCATCAATACATAGTTTTGGGAGTTCATGAAAAATTTCTACTACAGGGAATATTCAACTAGAATAGAGCAAGAGGAAAAAAAAATCTAAAATAATCTAGTAAATCTGAGCATATTTTAATGGGTCTTAGTTTGTGCTTTCCTACTGTAAACAGCTAACTACTTGTAATTTCTTAAATTCTAATCTGTTTTGCCTCTGGACGTATCACGAAGACCATCAAAGCATATGGGAGACCTGAAAAAGAGTCTAAGTTTGCTTAGGTCGTAAAATAATTCCTGTTTGACAGCTCAGATGTGAGGAATAATACAGTTCTGGAGAAAGATCAATAAGTATATAGAAGCCAGTATTTCTTTTTTTTTAATTCAGACTTTAGTATTGAGGGATGATAGGCAGAAATGGAATGACACTTAGTAGCCAGAGGTGACTTTGTAGGGATGAAAAGCAATCCTTTGGGATAGGTGCCTAAACAGATTAATTAGTTGCTGTATTGGTAAATTAGATTAAATGTTTTAATTTAATCATATATGTCTCTGTAATGGAATGTATTTTTTTTTTCCACATTTCTAGGTGAATATTTTAGAGCTGATGAATTTGCAGATCAGTCTCAGGAAAATCTGAGCTCTTCATCACTCAGAAGAAAGCTGTTCTTAGAAGAAAATGGGAACGTATCTGCATGTTTGTCCCCTTCTTTGCATAGCCCATGTGGTAGTCAGCCACTTGGAGTGCTTTGTTCAATAGAATTATCTCCAGTCCGGTGCAGAAGCCCTCTGGACACATCTAGTTCAGTAAGTAGCCTGTTTTGTACGCCTTGTGGAATGTACGTTACGAGAGAGTAGGTGTTAGATTAAAATTTTGGGGCTTTTTTTTTGTTTGTTTTTTTTTTTTTTCCCAAATTCTGAAAAAAATATGTGAACAAAAGTCTTGAAATAATATATTACTGACTTTTTATTCTTTTAAATTATTCTGTTATGCTGCTATTCTTTTGTATTGGGAATTATGTTTTAATTTTGTTATGAAAAGGAAGTAGGATTTAAAACATACAAAAGACTTGCTGAAAATGTGTTAAAACCTTTTTTTTCATAAACTGTGTCTACAAAAAGCCCTGTTTAAATCTATTCATGGCTGCCTACAATACCATTTGATATGAACATGTGGATGTAATTATATTTCCTTTAAATCTCATAAACTCATTTAGAGTGGAAGAAAATGCTGATCTTTGAAGTGCAGTGCTAAATATGCCTTCTTCTTTCCCACTGGCCAGACTTTTCAGATGAGGAGACATTTATTAGAACAAAACATGTAATGTCCATTTTTTAAATTAAACAAGATGAACCTTATCCCCATGTGAACATAGCTAAAGTGGTTTCGGTGATGTATTTTCATCTGTTTGGTAGTTGGAAGTGCATGGAAAAAACCTCCTATACTTGGATAGTTAGTAACTTAGAAGAGAATTCCTACAATATAACTGTAGTGCCAGAAGTGATGGGGAGGTGAGTGAGTGGGTTTTGGTCTGTTTGTTTTTTTTTTTTTGTTGTTGTTGTTGTTTGGTTGGGGTTTTTTTGTTGTTTGTTTTTTTGGTGGTTTTTTTTGTTTGCTTGCATGCTAGTCTTAAGCAAGGTCATTCTCTTTTCTTAAAGACAATCAGTTTTGTATCTCCTGCTGAATTAAGTAGAATGGATTATATTAAAATATATATAATATGTAAATAGTGGCTGACTTTCAGCCACTGCAGTGATATGAGTAAGAAATTTAGATTAAACACTTGACTAGATGCACACATAGCATTAATTCTCTATTTATATTTCTCATAGTTCTTAAATATAGTGGATAAAATAGTCCTAGCTGGTATTAGGTGACAGTTTGTGTCCATTGCTCTTTTCCTCTGTATGGAGGCATAAGGTCCAGGTGAAGAGCTACAATTGGAATATTTAAGATGGACTAGAGATTGTCATTGTAAAGGGTTAGTCTTTCCCAGTGCTGCCATATTAAGCCTTTTAGTTAGAACAGTTTTATATATACATATTAGCCACAGTTTACATTATGAAAATAATGCTCTGTGGGTTTGATTATTTTTTTTATTCTGAAGGGTCAGTTTTCATCAAGTCCTATTCAGGGAGGAACAAGAGCTTATAGTCTGGGAAGTATAACCAGTCCCCCATTTTCAGAGAGGTCTCCTGTACCTAATGGTTCTCCTGCTTTTTCACCAATTGCATTTCACATAAGAAAAACACCACTCTCAGGTATGATTTAATTGTATATGTATTACTTGATCTTGAGTAATACTTTTATTATAAAAACTTCTAAATTCTTAGTGGAACGTTCTTCTGTTTGGAGATGAGTTTCTGTGTTTGGCTGACCAGCAGTCTCCTGTATAACACATCAGCTGTTCAGCCGTGAAATATGTGAAACAATGAAATGTTTATGCTTGCAACTGATCAGCTAGGGAAAATACTTCGGAAGAAGGCATTGAGACTCAATAAGAATGAAGAAAAGTTAAAAGGGTTAATTTAATCTAGTATAGGAGGGCTTTTAAAGTCACATGCCAGAAGTCACTTGGGTTACAATTCTGATTTGGCCCAGCCGGAAGCATTTTAATATCAATGGGCAAAGAATGTTTAGCTTGAGCTTTCAAATCATGCCATCATGAAGATTATTTGAAATTAAATTACTAATTAAGAAATCACAAACATTTTGTGTCCTTATTGCTCTAGAAAAGGTCACTGTTTCATGCTGTGTCTATACCTGGTAAGGCTCAATGCCTTGTTCATACATGATTGCACACGTTTGGCATGATTATATATACGTATACTTGACTTTTACACGTTTTGATTAATGATATTTTACACCATTATATATGGAGATTGCACAGGTGTTTTCCCACTTGTTTGATCTTAAACTTCATTGCTACCAAAAATTTAAATTGCTGTAGATTGTGTATTGACATTCATTTAGGAAAAAACAAATGGGGGACTAATGGACTACACTAAACAAGCCTTCACCCATTTACCTTTGAATACTGTATAGTAATGACATTTAAAAATACAAGGTCTCCAATACAGCAAACCATATCATAGAAAAGAAATTTGTTGGGATAAAAACTTGCCCTTGCCATGGTAGCTGAAATGTTTGGGTGGTGGGTTTGGTTTTTGGGGTTGCTTGTTTGTTTGGGTTGGGAGGCAACAGTCAGTGAAATACTCTGTAGTTGCTATAAATTACTCAGTGGACTGCGGGGCCTTGAGAATGATGAATTTTTTCTATGAGATATCAGGAGAAGGTAAACTTTGCTCATTTTTTTTCAGACCAAAGAAAATTTACATTTCGTTCTCCAGATGTTCCTTCTTCCTCAAGTAGAATGACACCCCCCAGTACAAGGAGTCCTTACATAGATGGTTGTTCTCCAATTAAAAATTACTCTCCTATGAGACTTGGAGCCTGTAGAGGAACTGCCCAATATCAGACTTCTGTCATTAGAATACCAATTGCAGTTGAGAATCATGATGAGGAAGACAAGGAAAACACTTCTCCAGCAGAAGCTCGGTTCCCAGAAATGGATAATGGAATAAACGTACATCAGGAAGACAGTGATACTTTTGCACATGGTACACATCTCGTGGTGACAACTGTGTCTATTGCACCAGATCACTCAGAAGGTTGTCATCAAAGGTTGTCATCATTTCAGGATATAGAAGGCTTAAAGGAAAATAATACTGTAGACATGGCTGATGCAGCTGAAGTGTCAGAGGAAAACACTTGGATGAAAGAAACAATTGGCAGTAGCAATACACCAATGACCAGCTTTATGACAGGCATTACTTTCAGTATTGAAAGCTCTCGCATGTGCATGTCACCTCTTGCAGAAAGCAGCGCAATTCCTTGTGATAACAGTAGTATTCAGGTGAAAATACATTTTTTTTGTTTCTCTGTAAAACTGAGCTCAACATAACTTGGAATACGTGTACTAATCTGGAAGTAATTGTTATTTTCTCTTATTGGGTATGACGTACAGGTGGTATTGTGAATTTTATCCTTTCTCTTCATCCCCTCTTTCAGTGGAGTTAGCATAGTAATTATTTTTGTGTTGCTATGTACATTAGTATAATATTTAACTTGATCCAAACTATTGCTGACAGACCTGCTTACAATTTGATTTTACTAATCAGTCATAGTTGGTTTGTTGGATTAAGTTCTGCTAATCAAAATGCAAATCATATTAGGTATCTGAGGGATTTGTGTTAAATGACAGTACGTTTTTCAAGCCCTGCTTTTTGATTTCAGGTGGACAGTGGTTACAATACACAGACTTGTGGAAACAGCATTATGGATACTGCAGGGGCTGAAAACAGTTGCAGAGAAAATGATGTGAACACTATCGTGTTTCAGAATAAATCTCAGCTGCTTAGAACAAAGGTAGGAGTCGTGGTACAAAAGTGATAGGCTGCCTATTTAAAGCATCGGTTCCCCATTTTATTCGGTTTCAGGAAGCCTGGGGGAAGAGACTATCAGATAATAATAAAGATGTTAATGTAGTGTCATTTCAGAGACTATGTTGAATAAATGCAGGACAAATATCTTAACCTGGCAAAAAAAAATTAATGTTTTATGATAAAAGTAAAGGTTGTTTTGGAGGAAACTGAGATGTATGCATGAATAGTTGTAGTGAGTCTGTTCATGACTATTGTAGTCTGTCTCTAATTTTTGTTTCTTTTGTTCTTGCTGCTTCATTTATTGCTAAGTTTTAAACTTGTGCCTGTGGAGAAGGACATTTCTGGGGAAAATTCTCTGCTGCTAGTTTTTATAAACTTAACATCAAGTCCTAGACCATACCTGGCATGCTGACTTGCTGGGGAACTTTCTGCATGGATACAGTCTTTTTACAAGCCCTTTGAGGACCTATCTGAAAAGCACAAAGCTCCTAACCCCTTGATCTTGTGACTGATAGGAAAGATTTCTACTTCTTACAGAGAATTGGAAGGAAGGCTAGTTTCTTTGGAGAAGAGAGCAAAGATCATCTCCTCTCAGTAATTACAGTCACACAGTGCTACAAACGTAGTAGTTTGGATCTGCTATGTCTTCAAAGTCCTTCAAGGGGACACAGTACTGACCATTAGTACGAGATTATAAAAAACCTCAAGTAAACCCATTCAGCCCTAACTTCACTTCTGGATGTGACATGCCAAAAGCCACTTCTCTGCCAAGGGGAAGTGCTGACTGATGGTGTCTTACAGACCACTGGCTTCAAATTTTAAACTCTGTTCATTTAAGACCAGGACAAATGTGCCCTTACAAGAACAATAGATAGATATTTTGTCATTACCTTCTAAAAATCCTCATCTAAGATCCCGCCCTGGTCACCCTGTTGGACATGCTTTTTATGTGTGCAAGTACTTTTCAGAATCACTTGTCTGCTATCAAACCTGTCCTAGAAGAACTTACCAATGTCATGCAGCTGCCTTTTCCCAGTGTTAGTCTTTGAACTGCTGGGTCTTGACTAAGCCAGATTTTACATTTTAGATTAGCAGTAAAGTGTCAAGGCATTAAGTGCTTCACAACTGAGAATCCTCAGGGAATGAAAAGAAAGAAAGAAAGAAAAAATTACAGACGTTGCTGGCTGAAAGATTCAAGTCAGGCTCATTCAGACATTCATGTGAGCCTTGAAATGAGGTATTTCTTGCAGACAGCATGTTTCAAAGATCTGTGTAGAGAAAATGTGTTACTTCATTTCTTTCTCATTTCAGAAGGGTAGAGTTGGTACTTTAGGTACTTACTATACTTGAAATTTACAGTTAGTAATATTGGATCTTGTTTTCTTGGAGAATTTCTGTTAAAATTGTTTTAAAACTGAACTTCTTCTTGTTCACCTAGGAGTGCTCTGTTTTAAGCCATAAGGACAATCAATTGCTGAGAACAAAATCTCCAGAGAAGCAATCCTGTTTTCAAAAAGCCAAAACACATAGCACTGTATTTGGTCAAAATTCAACTTGCAACATTTCTGCTTGGAAACTTAAAAATGAAAATCAAGTTCAGGGATTTCACAAAAGTGGTATGTAGTTTTCTGATGGAGAATTTACTCTGTGGTTTCTAATTAATTTTTATACATATGACCTCAATTATCTGGATTATATATACTATTTTGCTTTTATAATGCAAATGTAATAAATTGTTTGGTGTATATTAAGGGAGTTTTTAAATAATGTGGGATTTTCGGGTCTTACTAAGAATTTTATTTGTGTCATTAAGTGATTCTTTCTGAAAATAAAGTGTCTAGATTTGGTACAGAGAAACAACAGTGTTTTTTTCAGAATTTTATTCCTTCTGTGACTAGGGTGGTTTCCATGAGCAGCCTAGGATAACTTGCATAGAAACCAGTGTGTCTGTAAAATCATCCCTCCTAAAGGCATGAGGGAAATTCTTCTTTGTGGGAAAGAAAAAGTGGAAGGGGTATTAGTGTGGTTTTGGATTGCTTTTCTTCAACCAGATATACTGTGTGGCTTCATAAATACTACCACTAGTACCAAGAGTAAGTCACTGGACAGAAGTGAACTGCTGGGGTGTGATGAGAGCAAATGCCAAGTTTAGTTCTCTTGGAAATATAAAATGAGCTTTATGTCAAAATAAGCTGTTTAGTAATTCTCTTAACAGCTCTTTCCTTGGTTTGACAGAAATCTGGGATGTTAGGTTTAAGTAAAATGTATTACCTTAAAATTAAAAGATAGTGTTGTTGCTTTGTTAATTGTATTGGTACTAAACTCGGAGTTGATCACCTGACACTACCAGTGTCTCTGAAGAACACTTCTGTCCAAATTGATGCTCTGGTACTCTTTGGAAGGAACCTAAAGAAGGTGCAATAAGATTCATTGGTCTCAGTACTATCACTAAGAAAATGGTGCGGCCTTTCTTCTAGAAAAGTAAACCATTATACTTTTTCTTCATTCTTATGCTTAATAATTATTATTATGTTGCTTACAGAAATTACCAAAATATTTAGATAAATCCTTAAAAATATAATTAACTTTTGCATGCCTTTTATTTATTACCTGAAGTATTAATAATTAAATTTCAAGAAAACCATAAATTAATTAAAATCATGTATTTAGAGGGGGGTCAGAAGCCCAGAACTGCCTTTCTGTAATCAAATCAGATTTAGTTGACTTTGCTTGTATTTGTTTAAAAGAACCTTCTGGAATTTATAAATGTGAATAGGGGGAAAAATCTATGTGGTAATCTTGTGGAGCTAGTGACAAAGAGGGAAAGAAGAGATAAGGGATACACTGGTATTTCTGGGCTCTGTTTGTGTAGAGCTCTAGTAAACTTTGTTGGATTAATGAAAAAGAGAAGGCCATTCTAACAAGTGTTCCAGATGAAGCAGTCTTCCTCTCTTCATAGCAAGGATATCCCAGGATACTGGGTGGAAGTTCTGCTTTCTGGTCTATTCCACAACCCACAGAGAAACTTGTACCAAAGTGACGGACAGTGGCTGATGAGCAGCTATTGGCACACTAGGCCTGAAACCTATTGGTCAGATCTAAATTTGAAAGCAAGACAGCATTTTAAAAAAATTTTTAAAGGGGAGGTGTGAACAGACTCTCTTGGCATTAAAATCAATGTGTTAGACCTGAGAGTTGTGTGTTGTTTGAATAGACTACTTCTTGAAATAATTTCATTAATAATTTCCTAGTGAAGGCTTTCTGAAAAGCATATTTAAGAAAAAGGGAAACATCTGTTTGTATCACTTGATTGTAGTTCTCACATTGCAAAAATAAATACTAAAAACTTTACTTTAGAAATCTAATGAGCAAACATGATGTGTATTTTTACTCCTGTAGCAGTTTAATTACTATTTCTGTAATGCATGTGGGATTGACAATAATGAAATCTAAGTCGTATATTAGTTCTATTATCTTCAAACAGTGCTCTACTAGAAGCTGGAAATACACTGAATTGGTAACTGTTAAGAAATTAAAAGTAGGAGATGATCTCAGACTTCTGGAAAACTAATTTTATAGAATAGGGCCTTCAAAATGTTTTAGCTTTAGCGTCTAAGTTTTGTCACTCAAAAGCAGGATACAACTTGCCTGAGTTATGTATGACCTTGTGTCATTTCTGTTTCTCATTATAATTTTTACAACAATCAATTAAAGGGACTCTAAAAAGGATTTATTTTTGCAATTGTGATTACTAAAATAGTAATGTAAATTTAATGAATGTTAAGCAGGGTAGCCCAAATTATGTGTTTCTGAATTTTTCTGAGTTGCGTGTGTAATTTAAGATTTGGTTTTACTTTTTAACTAAGATTTTGATTATTTTCATAATATGTTAAATGATCAGAGGCTTTTGAAGTATTCACAAGTAAAAAAGCAATCCCTAAAGTATTTCATTTCATCTTGTATTAGTATTTTCTTAAAGCTAAGAATGTGAATGTGAGAAGTGATTAAGGATGCCCCCACCCCGATTGCCTGTATTTTTTGTCCTGTTTTGTAGATTTCAGTTAGATGGGAAATATTTATTTTATGAAACATGCCTATTTTTTTATTATGTTTGTACAATTGATTTGTAGAAGAAACCTGCTGTGCAAAGTACCATGGAAATCACTTGACCATTTTATTTCTGTAATTGTTCTTAATGAATTGGTTGGCACACATTGCACAAAACGGTCATTGTTTACATTAAATTAATATCAGTAGTTTTAACGAGAGTCCTTTAACATGTCTAATGGTAAACTGAGTAATGAAACAGAATAAAGACATTTGTTTAATACCTATGTTGTTAAATTACTTCTTTCAGTTCAGAGGTGCTAAAGAGAATGCACAGAAGTGCTGACTTCTATCAAACTCTCAAACCTTCCTTAAGGCTATTAACAAGAAACTCTACCATCATTTCTTCACTTTGCAGAAATGTTTATTTTCACCCACAGGACAAAGGTGTAGATATACATGATTTTAAAATTTGTTCTGCATTCTTCGTCATAAAAAAGTAGCTTTAAAAAAAATTCTTTACAGATAATTAAAATGTGTATTTAAAAAGTAAACAAAACCTGCTTCTAGCATTTTTTTTTTGCCCATAGGGAAAAATTCGTAAATGCAAGTACTTGTAACTTCTTCTGCACTTTTATTTCCAGCTATTTTTGTCGCATTTTCTTTTTCTCTGGTTCTTCCTTGCTGCTTGCCTCTGCAGAGAGACTTGCATGCATATCATTTCCTAATATCTAAAGTAAGAAAAAAACAGAAGTCAGAACATTTTTATTCAATTTTGCTATTCTAGTAAAACTTGAGTTTACTTGTACAGACCTTTTATAAACACTGTGCCAACATCAGAAATTTCTGAGTTAGGTAATCACTTAAAAGAGGGTCTATCATCTTAGAACAATCAGAGGTAGAACACTCACCTGAAATAAAAGCTGAAAAAGGCAAAGAGAAGCAACAGGACCCCTCCTGACAAAGGAGGTGCATCATTGTTAGCACCCCTACCATCACCTTTCATTAGCCTTACTTTGTGTTTTCAAAGTGTCCCTCAGACTAGAGTCATGGCCTCAACAGAAGCTCTTGAAAAGCTAAAGTTGGTGAGCACAAGCAGAGGGCAGCTCAGCATGTGACTGTATATCAGAACACATGGGCCCCTCTCTGCTACAATTTTTATTTTCTATTCCCAGTTTTTGAAATCACAGGGATTCACCTCAACCCAGGCTGAGGGATGGACAGATCAGAGCAGCTCTGCTGCGAAGAACTTGGGGGTGCTGGTGGGTGAGAGGCTGAACATGACCCAGCAGTGGGCACACACAGCCCAGAAAGCCAAACATGTCCTGGATTGCATCCAAAGCAGCGTGGGCAGCACGGACAGGGAGGGGATTCTGACCCCACCTGCAGTGCTGCATCCAGCTCTGGGGGTCCCAGCAGAGGAAGGATGTGGACCTGTTGGACTGAGTTCACAGGAGAGCCAGAAAAATGATCAGAGGGCTGAATAAAACAGCTCTCCTGTGAGGAAAGGCTGATAGACTGGGGTTGTTCAACCTGGAGAAGAGATTCTAGGGAGACCCTTGAGCAGCCTTCCAGGACCTGAAAGGAGAAGCCTACAAGAAGGCTGAAAAGGCACTTTTCACAAGGGCACATCATCCAGTGACAGGAAAGGGGGACTGGCTTCCCCCTGCCCCCACTTGAAAAAGGGTAGGTTTAGTTTATGTTTTAGGAAAAAGTGCTTTATTCTGAGTGATGAGGCACTGGAACAGGTTTCCTAGAGAGGATGTGGATGCTCCAATCCCTGGAAGTGTTCAAGGCCAGACTGGATGGGGTTTTGAGCAACCTGATATCATGGAAGGTGTCCCTGCCTATAGAATTGGGGAACTGGAACTAGATGATCATAAAAAGGTCCTTACAACCCAAACGATTCTATGGTTCAAGCCCACAACAGCTCAAAAATGAGAACATATTTACATGATTTCTCAAGGAAAAAAATTCATGTTTCATTGTATAAACACAAAGAAGCTCTTGCTTATTTTGGGTTGTCATTTTCCTCTGTGGTAAGGTATAGTCAATTGATGCAACCATCTGTGTACCAAGAAAGTTATTTGTACGTTATTTTAAGAGCACCATTTTGTAATGTCATGCAAAATACTTATCAGGCCTAAAGTGTGAGAGCAAGTGAAACTCCCTGTGTCCAAAATGCTCAAAGAAGCTAGAACTGAAAAGTCTTGAGACTAGAGACATTAGAGCTCTTACAACATTATCAAGAGAGAATTTTTATATTGTGGGCATTGTAAGACAGAACTGCCGTTGACACTCGGCAATTATACAGAGCTGAGCCACCCATCACAGTTACAGTGTAGTTCACTATAATAAAGAGATCACCCTACCAAATTTGGGGAGATTTTCAGAGGAACATCTAATTACAGAACTGTGAAATTCAATACATTACTTCAGCAAATCATTTTCATTCCCAACAGTGGAAATATCCTGATGGGCCCAGAACAGAAGTTTAATTTAGAAGGCTCTATTTTTTTCAACAACCAGTGAAGGCAGACCTGAGTTTTATTGAGAGTGGATATGAAGGTGTCATTACAAGCTGCTGCTAAATTATGTTTTTTCTTCTGAGTTAAATTTCAGTTTTACCAAATGATGATTTTTTAACTTTACTGAAGGATAATATGGTTCTAAGAATTTTGTGCCTTACCTTGGGTTCCACCAAGACCATGCGCATTTTCTGATGTTGGATGTTGGAATCATCTAACATAACATTCACTTTAACTTTATCAAACACACATAATGTTGTGTCTTCCACAGTAAGTGATGGCACCTGAAATTTCAAATTTTGTATAAATACTATTGGCAACAGCTTATGTTTTTATACAAAGCAGTACCTTTGTATGAAAATAGCACTGTTACATGTAAATAAACCAAAAATTACTATAGTGAATATTCAGTGTTGTAGTATGTGATACATGCATTTTCTGCAGTAATCACATAACTAGATGTCAGTACTATCTATTGCAGAAAGAAATTCCTGTCAGAACCTACTTATTTAGACTTACAAAGAATATAGTGGCATTCATTACTACTAGAGATTAATGAACTTGCATTTAGAAAAGCCTCTCTTACCCTTCTATACCTAACTAGAATAGAATTTAGTCATTCTGCTTGCTTACCAAATCAAAAAATAAAGGTGTTTAAGAGCAAACCTTAAGAATAATAGTAAGAACATACCTCACTGTTGTACTCCAGTTTTGGTGTTGGTTTATCTTTTTCTTCAAAGAAGACTGTTCCTTCTAACCCATACCTGGGAATCAGAACCACTATTGCATTTTTTCTTACAAATAATATATATGCATCTTCATTTACTACTCCCTTGGTTTTGAAGAACAGCTGTAACAAAAACAGAACACACAAATAAGAAAAAAAAAAGCACTAGAACATTCTCTTCTGAATCACAAATATACTATCTCAGAAAAATAAAACATTCAAATACACAGCTATACTTAGTGATAATTACACAGCATATCCTGAAAGCAGATTTTTAAAAATCTTATAAAACAATTTATAACATTACTGTAGGATTAAGCATTCATATTTATAAAAGCACAAAACTAAAAGAATCTCCAAGATGCCATTCTGAATTTTTCAGAACAAGCAAAATAATGTTTTAAGCTTTTTGTTAGAAGCATCCCTCAGCCTTTATCATTTCTGCACTCTGGTTGTGCTCTAGCAGTGTCCATAGTTAAACATAACATCTCAGAAGTACTTACCTGTGTATGGAATGCCACAGAGGCTCTTTGTGCATATTGTGCCATTTTATGTCGGTAATTGAGATTTTTACACATCTCTGCCAGTTTGTGTTTATCTGTGAGGTCTGGGTAAGTACTGTCTGCTCCTATGGCCACTGCCAAAAGCCGATGGACTATGATATCAGCATACCTGCAAAGATGAGGTTAAAATCATCAGTGACCTAATAAGACATAGTTTTTCAAACTTAATAAAAAGGTTTCTGAAGATATGTTTGTTTTTGTGAATCTTACAGATTTAAGTTTTTGGAATAATGATGGTGTGCTAGCAACTCCCTCTATTCAGCATCCATCTCTTTGCTGACTAAAGATGCACTGCAGAGCCAGAATACTGTTTGCTAAGATAAATTCTTCATTGTGCCAGAAAAAGAAATAAAGTTGAATTTTTGGACTGAAGAATGATCTTTAGCCATGGCCAATTAAGACAATCCTTCTTCCCTTTCCCATTAAATTAGACAAATTTTGTGTAGAATAGTATCTCAATGCCACAGATCTGCAAAGCATAACCACATTTGAATTTCTTGTTACGTAACTTATTAGAATTTCAGCAAGGAACATTTTAATACATCTGGTACTTCAGTGAGGAACTTTTTAATACATCTGGTAAGAACTAAAATTTACCATTTGGACTCCTAGAAGTTCTACAGGTTATCCATAGAAATGCATATGAATTTTAATCCACATCCAAGAGATTGGATTGGATTTGATTTCACTTGAAATGTTTCTCAGGAGCACAGTAACAATTGTTTTCTTCAAAACTCAGTGACTTCTTGGTCAGATGAAAAAACTAATGTACTTTTCCAAGAAGTACTATTTCATTGCATGCAACAGCTACCAATAGCAATACCAATACCAATAGCAAGTCCCCAATTACCAGTGTTTTCATATGGAAAATTCAGCCTCCTCAAAATTTAAACACAGTTTCAATCTCAATCTCAAAAATGACTAAGCAAACTCTGTCTCAGTCTCTGGCTACGACTACTGGCTGACTGACCCTGAAGTGCATTTCTATGCCAGACATATGCATTAGAGATATACTTCTATTGTATTTTTTTTAATGTTACTAAACCCTAGGAGCTGTGGACAGTAAACCTGGGAGTGTACATAAAGATGGACTGCCACATAAGCCACTGCTGTTTCAACTGAAATCTAATGCTGAACAGAAACTTTTTTTTTAAATGGACAACATCACCATTTCTTCACAAATAAATCACTTCTTTCCTCTCTGAAACTTTTGTAAAATACAAGTACCTTCTAATAGGTGAGGTAAAGTGAGTATAAATAGGTGAGGCTAAACCATAATGATGAAAATCATTATCCATTCCTGAGCAGAAATAAACAGCTTGCATCATGCAGCGAGTGGTCAAAATTCGCAGCAGTGTATTTAGGTAGGGGAATGTAGGAGATTCAGCTTTGTCTAATGATTCAGCTAAAGCTTTTGCTGAATCTGTCTTAATTTCCAAATTCTGAAATGAGAAGAAAAGAAACAAAAAAGGTCAAGTATTACTAGCAAATATTAAGAATATAAACAGAAATGTAACAGCTATATCTAGGATAATAGCAACAGGCACAGGTATAGCACCTAGTAACATGATGGAATGCTACTACTACAAAAGCAAACAAACAAAATCCGTCCATGCACAGGTCCTTCCCTCATTATTACTAGTGCGCTATGCAAAATCAAAATGCTGAGTCAACCTAGAATTCAGAAAAGACACCCATTCTGAACTAAGAAATACTTTATGCCAATATTAACA